ATATATTTTTTAAATGAAGCCAACAAAAGGGGAGCTATCTGTGCATTAGAGATGTCACAAAATTTCTAGAAAAAGAAAGTTACTGTAGACGGAGGAGTGGTGAGCAAGGACACAGGGTGAGGAAACCCTGGGCTCCAGTGAGACATGTTCAAAGTCAAAGGGACTATTTTGAGTATCTGAGGGAGTAATGGCAATGTGTCTTTTAGTGTAATCAATTTTTTAATTTAAACATTCACCGTATCTCATTAATCAACCATTTATGGTAATTTCTATCAAAAACATTACCCTGTGTCCTTATGCACCTTACTTACTGAACCATGTGAACCATGTGGCTCTTCCTCTAAGTCAAAATGACCATGAAAGGTAAATGTTTGGATCGATTTGGATATCTAGGCAGCCCTGAGAGCACAACTATTAACACGAGAGAGGATTTTCAAAATTGCTTCAGAAGGTGGCAAGGACGATGGGATAAGTGTGTTCAAAGCAAGGCGGAGTGTTTTGAGGGAGATTAATAGTAATGTGTCTTTTACTGTAATAAATCTTTAAAAATTTAAATATTCATTGTACTGATTGTACCTCATATGCATGGATATATATGTGTATGTGTATATATAATATAATATTTAATAAGATTTTATTTTTTACTTTAAAATAATTCAAAATTTAAAGAAAAGTTACAAGAACAACAGTAGTACAAAGAGTATGTGTTCCCTTATGGGGCCAGGGATTTAGCTCAGTGGTCCCGCCTGCCTCGCAAGCAAAAGGACCCGAGTTCAATCCCCGGTACCAAAAAAAAGAGTATGTGTTCCCCACCCAGATTCACCCACACCATCCTGTACTCTGGTGGCTTCATCATTTGTGTTCATGCTCTCTCCTCCACATGTGTGTTTTCTAAACCACTGGAGGACTGCATTCATCATAACACGTGGCCTTGGCAACCCAGTAATGTTTTGTAAAGATGTGTAGAAATGCTCTCATATAACCACTGCAAATTTGACATTGATACTCAACTTTAATCTACAAATAGGTTGAATAGTCTTCTACTGCAGGCTCTCTCCTTTCAGATAGTTTGGTCAAATATCTGTCCTGTTCTTCCCCTGCTCCTGGTCCTCCGCTGTTCACCCTCATTTTTTCTATTTGTTTTTGCTTTTTGTTTTAAAGTCTTTCGTTCTATGAGTATTTACATGATCCCCAGAGCTTATAACACAGACTCATGATTAGAAGTAAAGCATGTACCAGGTGCTGTTTTGGAAGAAATCCTGTGAGTCTTTGCCTTTCCAAAAATCTCAAGCACTGTCGTTTGAGACTTTGACCTTTCTTTTAAGAAATGAATTTTATGGATATGTTTCTGGGGATTTGACAGTTTCTTTTCTCTCTTATTTTTCCATTTCCATTTATAGTTTGAAAAAGTACCAGAGGGTATTATCCCTCCATCTACACCAAAGTTCGCATATGGAAAAGTTGCTCTGAGAAAGGTAAGAAAGAAAAAACACTGGAAGCATTGAAAGTAGACTGGGAGTAAGAGTGGAATTTAGCCACAGGAGTGAAAGTGCAGTGCTGGGGAACGGCTTCATTGTTTTTCTAGGACCCTGCTATTTGCTGTCTGCCAGGGCAGGTGACCTTTCTGGAGAAATGGTGTGGTGGGAGGTGAGGTCTGTGTGGTTGATGGGATGCACACATCCGGCATGAACAGGAGTAGTGGGCATTCTTAGGGCATTCCGGCCATTTGGTTCAGTTACAGTTATTTATAGAAAGGAGCACCAAGAGCGCTGGTTGACACAATGTGCTCCTCAGGATGCTGGCCGGCAAGGCTTTTTTCTATGTTACACTTTCTTTTAAGGAGTTCCCCAAAACCACAGGAATTTTGATGTTTCTACCCTAACTTATACACTCCCCCTTGATCTCAAATTCGTGTCCTAATTTTTATAGACTAGTTTATTGGTAAGTGAGACATCAGGGGAAAAGGCTAGAAATTAATCATAAATACAAGGCAAGGATGTTTTATTCTAGGGAAGGAGAGAGAGAGATTTTATTTAATAGATGCAGTGAAGTAAGTCAAGTCAATTTGTTTTGACCACCTGTGTCGTCAGGTTTTCCCCTCTTACAATCCCTAACTCCTACATGTGTTCATTCACAAGAAGAAAAAAAAATGAGCAACTACCTATTTCTTAAGAATTTTGACATTCTAAAATAGCATCATAAGTTTTTATCTTTAAGCAAAATGCCAAACATGATTGTATAATTTTTCCATTCGAGAAGTCCTTTGACATTATGGTTGGTTGATTGAGCTTTTGTAACATTTTCCGCCTAGTGTCAGACACGTGTGCTACATTCTACAAAGAATGTGGTCCCTCTGGCTGATAGGGATCTCTCTTTAGATTAATCAGACTTTAATCAGACTTGTGGAGGGAGCACCTTCCTTCTACTTGTTCGTTGCTACAGCTACTTAAGGAGAAGGTTGTTGTTTGGTTTTAGAGCTGTGAAGATTTATTTTTATGCAACAGAAAATAACTCCAAATGTTTAAAACAGCAACATTGCTTTAAAAAAAACCCTCATTTAGTACCAAAAGCACATATTGCTTATCACGAAGGAAAATTGTGTGAACAGACATGGCTTTTCATTGTTAACTAAATGTATAGCACTTAAGATAGCAAATTGATGTATAACTGAATTAAATTTATGTAGAATATAGTTAGGGCCGGGGATTTAGCTCAGTGGTTCTGCCGCCTGCCTTGCAAGTGCAGGGTGTCCTGAGTTTGATCCCCGGTACCAAAAAAAAAAAAAAAAAAGAATATTGTTATATAGGATAAAAGATTTTATTATGAGTTATATTCCTTTAGTTGTCCAGGTAGGAAAATACCCATGTGAGTGGCTGGCTTAATGGAATTGTAATTATTACTTTTTTTTTTGCCTGACACAGTGGCATATACCTGTAATCCCAGCATTCTAGGAGACTGATGCAAGAGGATCCCAAGTTCAAGCCCAGCCTGGGCAACTTAGTGA